GTAGGGCAAAAAATCACAGAATCATAGAAACATACAGATTACCGAACATATTATCAAAACAAAACTCAGAAACCCAAGGTTGAGGCTAAGAAATTAGGGTTTTCAACATAGACGAGTTGAAAAAGGAGTAAAAGCATAGAATCGTTCGAGATATGCAAAGAATAGAAGTTAAAACATGAAGAATCGATTTAAACAAAGTGTAGAAGAAGTCCTGAAAACCCCTAATTTTAAAAGAAAGTAAAACAACTTGAAATCGATGATTTTGCAAGTGAAGTTCAAGAAGAGTGTAAAACATAAAAGGAGCAGACTTGAATCGTTTAAAAATAGCCCAGATCTAGGAGGTGTAAACAAAAATTAGAGTTTCAGAAGAAACCCAAATAGAAACGGAAGAACCTGTTTAGAACTTCAAAGATCGTAACCAATATAGTGTGATATTGCTTAGAATCACATCGGAGAAGTCATGAACAGCCAAAACAGCAACCCTAGACATAAGTCGGCGTGGCCCAGGGCCCTTGAAGGCCTCAGAGAAGATGAGCAAGGCAATGGAGGAGCCATTGGAGGCTTGGGGTTGAAAGGTGGTCACTGGAGAAGACCGGAGAAGGAGGCGGCGGTTGAAGATCTAGGGTTAGATTGAGAGTGTTTGAGAGCAGAGAGGATTTCAGGGCGGCGGGGGTTTTGGAGAATTAGTAGGGTTAGGGGTCGTTTAGGAATTAAAAAGGAAAGAATGGGTATGGACCGTTGATTTGGGATATCAACGGTCAAGATTTGATCTGGTAGATGGGTTGGGTAAGTATATGTAGGGTATGGGTCGGGTATTTTAATAATAAATTGGGTTGAAGTTGGGTCCAATTTGGGCTATAATTGAAATGCCAAATTCGGCTATAATTTAAAGAGCCAATTTTCCCTATTTTAATTTATAATAAATAATAAGTAATTTTTGGAAAATGATTTAAAATATATAATTGTCATTTTAAAAATATAGGGACCAATTTTACACACATAAAATGTAATTATACACTAAATGGGCTAACATTGCAATTATATGCAATTTGGCTTAAAAATACCAAATGCAATTATAAAAATGCATAAAAATATATTAACCATATTTTTGCATAAGTATAGAGATTAAATGAGTAAATCATCATAATAATAATTTGAAAAAAATATTTATTGGGGTTTTATGGATAAAAAGGGGGAAAATAAATCAATTTAAACCCTTAAAATTATGGAAAAAATAATAAAAACCTTGTGCATGTTTATATATGCATATATATGCTATTTCGAATGTATTTTTGTATATTTAAAATATATAGGGAAAATTGGGTATTAACACATAATGTTGTAACTCTGGTATCATTGTTTGCGATATTGTGACACTTGGTATTATTGTTTTGAGGTATTGTGGCACTTGTGAACATATTGAGCGGATTGATTAGGGGTGCCAGCACGGGATTTTTGCCGTACGATTATGTCTATTATAGTATGCATTGGGCGAAATAAGGGTGGCGTTATCTCGGGTTGCCCACGTGGCAAAATAAGGGTGGCTATATGCGCATGTTGCGAAATAAGGGTAGCTTATCATTTTTATGTGCACATGCAGCGTAATAAGGGCGGCATTGTTGATGATGTTATATGATATTTCGGGGTGTCCTTATTGTTGTTGTGATTATATTGAGACGGGGTTGTTAAATGTATTCATAATTGTTTATGAAAGCTTCTGTTTTGCCCTTATATGAGTTAATAACTGCATTTGATGTGTTATCACATGCCTCACCTCTATTTGATGTTTGGGATCAAAGATGGGCTTATTACTCTGAGTTGTTATCGCACACTCTAAAGGGGGTGTTGTTTCTGTTTTCCATTATATTTTGAGTTATCAGTTTTCTATGATATACTCATTTTGCACAGGTTATATTTGACTAGTGAATGTCTTGACTTGAACCTCGTTACTACTCCACCGAGATTAGTCTCGATACCTACTGGGTACCAACCGTGGTGTACTCATATTATACTTCTGTATATTTTTGTGCAGATCCAGGTGTTGGAGGTAGCGGACCCATGTTGTGAGAGCTTCTTTGATTGCAAGGATTCAAGGTAGAGCTGCTTTGTTCGTCGCGGTCCCTTGGAGTCATTTTATTACATTTATACTGTCAATTCTTTATCCGAACAATATTGTATTTTTGAGATATTTTCATGTATTCAGTTAGAGATCATTACTCTGTACTACCTAGTCTTGGGGATTTGTTATGATTATCATCGTGTTGGCTTGTATCATCTTTGTTTTCGCATTTATATTAAATTCTGCTTCATTATATGATATTGGCGAAATTGCTTCCTGGCCACTTAAACTTGCATCAGTTTGTAAAGCCGATATATAAACTCTTGAGTTTCCCATTTGAACACCTTTACTTGAAAAAATGACTACTAATAAATACTTTTGATGGTGCGTGTTGTTCAATTGCTGCTGACATGGATTTAATTTATTATTTTATATAGTCACGTCATCCATTCATTCATATTTGTTGACACCTGTATATTCAAGGTCCCAATTTGTGGGCCCTTTACTTTTCATCTCTTTTCCAACATCATCCTCCTCTTCATCATCAAGCTCACTCTCTTCATCTTCTTCTTCGTCTTCATTCTCCTCAAACTCAACTGCTACACCAACATCAGTGATGAGTCGCCCAATCGACACCGACTTATCAAACACCTGGTCTGAAATAAGCTTTAACAGCTTTTCAATTTCTAATTTAATGAAGCTTATTGGTCAGAAGAAGGGAACGCCTATGAGGCCTAACTCCGATTTGAACATATACGTGTTTGCCTTGTTTAACGAGAACCTCAAGCCTGGTCCTAGCTCGGAGAGGAATTATGGCCTCTTCAAACCCGACCGATCTCAGGCCTACCTGTTAGGTTTTCTGTCCTTCGACGCCGTCAGTACTAATAGCAGCAGCTCAGGTGGTCATTCTGGATTTGGTAGGGAAGACTGTTGTCATTTCCTAATTAATTTCCAAAAGGGGATCCCGATGCTCTTTGGTTTAGGATGGATCCGGACTGAAATAATCTTGAAGATCTAATTACGGACTGGAAGTTAAAATACCTTCAAAATGGCCTCTTCCCCCTCATAATCATCACCAGCCTCATTATTCTTTGTGACTATCTTGATAGAATAGCAAGTGGATGCACCTTGACGTTGATCTTCAAGGAGACATTTGCCAAATATTGTTTGCTGATCTTGAACACATGCTTCGTTAGACAGCATAAGGGGAAAATAGAAGGGGAGGAGAAAGATCTCTTTTTTCTTTTTTTTTTCTTTTTTTTTTCTCTTTTTTAATAAAAATAATTACTGTCCACGCGCCTTTACACAATTTAGCCATGTCAGTTGCGCCGCTTCCATATAGGCATAGTCAACGGTCAAATGTGTTTATTAGTTTTTGTTGCATCAAGTTGGAGTGTTCAAATGGGAAAAGTGCAAGTTCATGTATCGGCTTTACAAACTGATGCAAGTTTAAGTGGCCAGGAAGCCATTACGCCTATGATATTTTATTGCTTTAATTGTTATGAGTGACCGACTTAACTAGTTTTAGAGATTAGGTATCATCACAAACCTTAACGTGAGATTTTGGGTCATGACACTCTCTATAACACTTGAACAATTTTTCATCAAAATTGTTCCGTAAAGGAAAGAAAAGAGAGAAATAATTTCTAAAGAAGGCTTCCGCTCAATACAATTAAAAAAAAAAAAAAAAGACCATGGATCTAGATAAGTTTTCTTGAGGAAAAGTACTATTTATGGATTTTGTGAAAGTCATTAAGTTCCAGACAATTATAAAATCATTGATAGGAGCATTATGTTAAATTATTTTTTGAATCACAGTCTAGAATTGAAATTTCTAATAACTTGGAAAAGTGTTATTTTTGAGGGGCAAATTTAAGGTAATCCACTAACACTTACGACATATTTGGGACCAAACTTAAACGAAAAACAAATGTATCCTATTTATCAATTGAGAGGCAAATATGAGCCTGTCCAATAAAATTAATAATCAGGATTATGATCTAAATACTAAAGTATGAACTATTTAACATGGATTATGGAAGCTGATATGATCACTAATTTAAACCACCCCATTTATCATGATTTTGGCATATGTGCAAAAAGAAATTCTTTATTATATGGAATCGCCCAAAAAGGGACTTTAGGTAGGTGTTTCGATATAAAAACTATAACTTGAGAAAAAATAGTATTTTGAGTTAAGATGAAAAATATTATTTGAAATTTAAAATTATGCTTGGAAATGTAAATGTTGAAGTGAGGAAACAAAAATTTCTGATTCTTTTTAAAAAGTGGTTTTAAATGCTTTTTAAAAACTCATTTTTTAAAAAATTCCAAAAACTTGCAAAATTTCACGGACAAATACATGTTTTTTCTTAATTCTGAAAAAAAAATATCTATGAACAAACGGGTCCTAAGTAAAATTACTTTAAGTTTTTCTGTGTTAGAAGTTAGAACTTTGTTGCTGAAACACATTGCTCTCCCATTTGGCCATAAATCTTGGCAACTTCTTTTTTTCATTTTTTACAAAAAATATTATTTATTTATGGAATATGATCAATTTCTAAAAATAAATTTTGATAAAAAAAACTCTAAGTTTCCAAAAACCAGTTTTTGGGCACCTTCCGTGTACGCCCTCCCAAAGTAACCAGCATTACATTATTATAAATTGAACTTAGGCCTCTAACTTTTACGAATTTCCTTTTTATGCCAATAAAGTTTCCTGAATAACTCAAAGCGCACGTACTTCTCCTGCTATACGAGCAGTCAAATCAAGAGCGTGTCAAGATATCGTTGGATAGTCACATTATCTTACTGTGGAACAGCAATTACGTTTCAAAGATTCAGAAGCAAGGACAAGCAAACACTTAACTCGGCTTATGCTTTTCTGTTTCAATTCATTTTCAATTTTTCCTTTTTCCTTTTTCTTTTCCTTTTTCCTTTTTCCTTATTATACAAACCCTTTTCTCCCTCTCTCTCTCACACACACACACACAGTAAAACCTCAAAAACTCAGCTTTCGTGAGTAGCTCTAAAAGGTAAAATCTTTTTCTCTAATTCTTCAGTTTTCTTGAATTGCTCCACAGAATACTATCTGGGCCTATGCTTTTTGTGCGAATCTTGAATTTTTCATGCTGTTTTCTTGATTCTGTAGATCCACATGCTTAGATTTGTTAGTCTGTGCCCACTAGGGTTTTGGAGTTATTGTCTTTAGGGTGATACTTGATATGTAAAGTTGAAAATTTTCTGCTCTTCTTGTACCCAGATTCTGTAACTATGAATGAGCAAGAAGGGGTAAGTAGAGTCACTAGTGTTTCAGAGCCCACTGTGGGTAATACTGGTGATGAAACCCTAGTGGAGAATTTGGGATGTGAGGGGGATGGCGGGGAGATAATGGTGGAGGTGGTAGGTTCTGATGTGTTTGTTGATGGGGTTTGTGGTGATGGTGCTGAATTGGGGCATGAGGGATCGGGAAAAGGAGCCGATGCTTATAGGGATTCTCTGTCAAGGGATGCTGAGGATTCATCTAGGAATACTGGAAATGGGGTTGAAGGTGTACTTTATGTTGCAGGGTCATCCGGGGATGTTTCTGTGACATCTGGCGCTGAAATTGTTCCGAGTGTAACAGCTTGTACTGTTGTACAGCAAGTCAGCTTCGGTGATGCTGAGGGTAATGTTGTCAGGAGCACTGAATCTGTTGGTTTGACTTCACCTGATGTCGCGGGCGATGTTTCCGAGACAGTGGACAATGAGGCTGCGAGTGAAACAGCTGATAGAGTTTTGGAGCAAGTCAACATCAGAGTTAGTGAGGAGGGGAATGTTGTGGGAAGCTCTGTATCTGTTAAAGAGAGTGCTGGTTTGACACTGCAAAGAGTGGGTCTTTCTGATGATGGGGTGTGGAATCCTGGAATTGAACTTCTGGCTGGATCTTCTTCATTTGTGCCAATAGACAGTTCTAATATTGAGGCTAGCAATCTGAGAATGGATTCTTCTGAAAAAGATGAAACTTCAGTCACAGAGATAGTTAGCCAGGCTAGTGACAAAGATGTTGCCAATCATGAAAGAGTTGAGTCAGGGGATGGTGAATTGGTAGAAAAAATACATTCAGAGGTTGAAACCATGGAAACCGATGTCCCTGATCAAGAGAAAGATGACTTGAGCAACAAGGATGAGAATTCACATACTGATGTTGAAACCATGGAAACCGATGTCCATGATCAAGAGAAAGATAACTTGAGCAACAAGGATGAGAATTCACATACTGATGTTGAAACCATGGAAACCGATGTCCATGATCAAGAGAAAAATAACTTGAGCAACAAGGATGAGAATTCACGTACTGATGTTGAACCCATGGAAACTGATGTGTATGATCAAGATGGTGGGTTCCCTAACAAGGATAATAATAGCAATTCTGTTGATGACACAGTTTCTTTGAGACCAAACAGTCCAATCCCTGAAGATAAGGGAAGGGATATCAAGGTAGTTAGTGGTGATTCAAGAATATCAGTTGAGCACGCCCCAGCTGTACATGATCACTCCTTAGGCATCAATGGTAACACTGCGCCATCGTACCCTGGCAAGCAAGAACATAGCTTGAAGGAAAATTTGGCAGCAGAAAATGGGGCTATTGGTTCTTCTTGTGAAAAAGCAAACCATGCTGAGGTTCGGGAATTTAAGGTTGATACCATGCATGAAGATAAAAGCGATCTTGCTTTATGTACACAGCCAGAAGCTTCTCATTTGGAAGCCCAAACTGGTAATCTTAAAGAGGTGTCTATGGATGGTAGTGAGGTCTCAATATTAAAAATACCAGTATCCAGTGATAAAGATGGGATCTTAAGTGGTTCAGACGAGTTGCCACATATACAGCCTAAGGTAGCAGATGGAGTTAGTGAAATTCCTAGTGATGATCTCCTACTGTCTTCTGAACAGGCGAGTGCTCATGATACAGGAAACTTTGAGGAGATGGAAGTCGAGGGGGTTCGTCACGGGACAACTGGCACTTTGACTTTTCCCATGAATGATGAAAGTCTGAAATTAGTGAAGGTTGACGCCAGGTTGGAAAATGATGCGGGAATTGGACCCTTGGAAACCTCTCATGAACCAGCTTGCAGAACTGATGGAGATAGTGTTGAAATGGACAGGGATGGGGATGCCCAGCTTGGAACTGCCACAACAAGTTTAAGTTGCACCGTGGATAAAAATATTTTAACAGCTGAAACAACAGTGTCTGTTGAGACTATGGTTAGCATAGGAGAGATGAACACGATGGATGAAACGAACAGAGTAACCCACTTCCTGCCGGAAGGATTGGAGGGGGACATGTCGCTGCAGCGTGTTGACAACGAGAGCTTATTGCCTTTTGATGACTATGCAGGAAAAGAAGGCGATCCCAAGATGAGTGCAGTGTCATCTAACGATGATGTTTTGACTGAGACTTCATTACTTCAGGATACTGACAAAACTTCAGATTCTGATGCTGTTAATGGGAAGTTGCCTCTTTTACTAGAAGATAATGACTTAAAGGTCGAGGCTGAACAGAAAGTGGAGACTAAGGACACTGCTCTTAGAGAGGATCCTACTCAAGCTCATGATTTGGCTCATGATACAGAAGGTGTTAGTACAGGAAAGCATTCAGATATTACCAAAGAATCTGAATCTACTGCAAATCAAGAGGGTGTAGTGGAGCATGATCATATGCTTGCTCTTGAGATGGATCATGAGGCTGGGAATGCAGCAACTGCTGATAAAATGTCAATTGAAGAAAGAAACTTTAATGTAGAGGGTGCTATAGAATCTCAAACTGTAACAAATTCTGGTGCTGATGTCCCTCCTCCAATTGGAGATCAAGTTGTAGAAACTTGTATTTCTCATACCAGCAATGCCGAGACGAATCAAGCCAATGAGTACCATGATTCCTCGAAGGAAAATGAGGGTCTTGTTTTCCGTGCGCATGCTGCAGAAATGAAGGTTGCCGATGAACAAGAGAAAGGTGAAGTTGAAAAGCTTCATGCTGATCCTGTGCAGGAATCTTCAGAGCAAGACAAAGGAACTGAAGAAGTTGCTTCCGAGACTAGCCACACAGTGATGTTGAATGAGAAGCCTGTGAGCTTGTTGAAGATGCAACCTGGTTATCTCATTCCACCGCAAACTGATGACGACGAGTACTCTATATCTGATTTAGTCTGGGGAAAAGTCAGAAGCCATCCATGGTGGCCTGGACAGATATTTGATCCTTCCGATGCTTCAGAAAAGGCCATCAAGTACCACAAAAAAGACAGCTTTTTGGTTGCGTATTTTGGAGACCGTACTTTTGCTTGGAATGATGCATCTGTGCTGAGGCCATTCTGTTCTCATTTCTCCCAAATTGAGAAGCAAAGTAATTCAGAAACATTTCAAATGGCTATAAGCTGTGCTTTGGAAGAGGTTTCTAGACGGGTTGAGCTTGGTCTTGCTTGCTCATGCACACCTGAAGATTCCTATGACGAGATTTCATGTCAGATTGTGGAGAATACTGGGATTCGTGAAGAATCAAGCAAAAGATATGGAGTGGACAAATCAACTGGAGTCACTTCCTTTGTACCTGATAAGCTCATGCACTATATGAAAGCATTAGCCCTATCACCAACTTGTCGGGCTGATAGGTTGACTCTCGCTATTGCTCGAGCTCAGCTAGTGGCCTTTTGTCGCTTCAAAGGATATCGTCTACCACCAGAATTCTTGCTAAGTGGAGAATTGCTAGAAAAAAATGCTGAAGTTCCACATGCGGACAGTGCAACTGACGAAAAGGGCCAAGCTTCAGAAGACAGCGAGCAACATCCCACCAGTAAAGTCTCTGCTCACAAACGTAAGCATGGTTCAAAAGATATTTCCCAGCCGAAAAAGAAAGAGCGAAGCATGTCAGAGCTGATGGTTAATGTGGAATGTGAGTATTCTCTAGATTGTGAAGATGATCAAGATGGAAAAACAATCACTTCTAGCAAAAAGAGGAAGGCTGTTGATTCTCTTACTGATGGATCGGACAAGAGAACAAGTGTTTATGCAGCTAAAGTGTCAACCACAGCATCTGTATCCCCTAAGCCGTCCTTCCGTATTGGTGAATGCATTCAAAGAGCGGCAAGCCAATTAACTCGGTCAGCCTCACTTCTGAAGTGCAACAGTGATCAAACTGGGGCTGATGTTCAATTGCAGGACTCTCCAAAGGGAAAAGTTGTGATTCCGACTGAATTGCCTTCCCCGAATGAGTTGCTCTCACAACTTCAATTGGTGGCATGGGCTCCACTGAAAGGCTACAACTTCTTAAAAACCATCACTTCTTTCTTTTCGGGATTTAGAAATTCAGTTGCTTTGAGCCAGCATACTCGGAGGCAGAATGCATCGGCCGGAAGACCTAGTGGTGGTCGAAAGAGGAAAGCTTCACAAACTGCAGCTGGGCTTGCTGAAGAATTTGAATTCGATGATGTAAATGATTCTTATTGGACAGACAGGATTGTACAAAACAATGGTGAGGAGCAGCTATTGCAGAATGGTCAGAGTGGGGAAGGAGAACGTCAGCTTACGGTTCATGATCCAGAGAAACCCAATAAACCAGGTCGTAGACCATACTCTAGAAAACGAAAATCCATTGCGGATGATGACACGACGCCAGGTGTTCCTCCGGAGGACATTGAGAAGAGGAAGCATGAGCCAGCAGAACTCATATTAAACTTTGCAGAAGGTGGTCCTCTTCCTTCTGAAATGAACCTTAATAAAATGTTTAGGCGGTTTGGTCCATTGAAGGAGTTAGAAACTGAAGTTTATCAGGAGTCTTCTCGTGCTAGGGTGGTCTTTAAAAGGGGTTCTGACGCAGAGGTTGCTCATAGTAGTGTCGGGAAGTTCAACATCTTTGGGTCACGGCAAGTGACGTATGAGCTCAGCTACACACCAGTTATCTCATTTAAGCCGATGCTCATTACACTTACACCAGATCTGGAAGGAGCTATTTGATGATACAATTCCAAGATGATGGTAGTTACAGGTAGCTATTTGCTCATTATAGATGCACTCTTGAAAAGCTATACATTTGGATCTGATTTTTGGGTCAAAATATGCATAATCTGGCAAGTAACAACCCTTAATTTTGTGGCCTTCACTCCTCTCCCCTTTCCCAAAGGAGTTTCCATGTGTTTTCTATACGTACCCTTTCATAAGAAATTCTGAAGAATCCCTAAAATTTTCGCTCTTCTCCAAAAATTAGTCGTGCCCATATGAAGGTAGTCTTTTCACTATCTAAATTACCCCTCTCGATCTCCCAGATATGGTATTTTCTGAAGTTCTTAAAGGCTACCTTGCTGGAAAACTTTTAAGTAATATTTTGCTAGTGAAGAACTTCACCATTATAATTTCCAGAGGTAGAGTTCAAATTTTAACTACATTTGATGATTGGAAAAAATTAGTCCCTTTAGTTCATTGTGTTTGTCATGTTGCTGCTTGATTCTTGTATATTGGATGTTATCTTTCTTCACATTTAAAAACAAAAAAAATTAGCTTTCGGCACAACTGTCTTTGCTCAGGATCTTTTTTTCTTTCTTTTTCTGACTACTATTCTGCTGTGTATTGTAGTTTGAAGAAGAAATGACTATGCAGCTGACGGACAACAGTAACACTTTGATTAGAGTGGGTTTGCTGGAGTAGAGGGTGACCAGAGACACAGATGCATCTTTTTGTATAAAAGACCTCATTTCTGTCTTATGTACTTTCTTATCTCTTTGTATTGGCGAAAAGAAGAGTTGTCCCTCCTGCTGCATTAGAAATGATATGTGCATGATGCATCGATATCATGCAGTGTTCATGCTTTCGATCATCTTCCCAGTCCCCTCTTGATCTTTCTGGATGAATGAGGATGAAATTTTTGGCTGAGCCTCGGACGAAGCAAGTATAGAATTTTTTTCCAGATATACTACAGGAACATGTTGAAACTAACGGAAATTTGAATTAAACAAGTGTGGTCGGCTTAAGAGATTGTCAAGCTTAAAACATAAGAAGTGAAACAAGACCCCTGAAGCTCATTTTCTGGTTAGGCGCCAATTTCCTTGTAAGGAACTTTTTGGATGCCACTAAGTTGTGAGACAAAAATTGTGCATGAAATTGACCTGTTAGGTGGGATTTAGTTTCTTCGTAGCCAGCCCTCATGTTTCAATTTGCATGATATTCTATTTTTGGGTTTATAGATTATTACTAATATCTTTATGATATAAATGTAAATGAAATTATTAGGTATATATACCCGTAGGGTGTCAATTGGGCTCTATCAGCCACTGCTGAGTTTAAGATAATGTTCAAACTTGCATACACATAATCTGGTCTGTTTTCTGGCAAAAAATTGCAGAAAGATGAACCATAGGTTAAAAGTGAAAGACCACTTAATTTTAGGGCCATTCTTATAAATTACCCGAGCGACGTCTACATGAGCAAAATTCATTTATAGCCCATCGGCCCAAACATATATCATCCAGTAGCCCAAAAATTGCAGTATGCATTTTATAGCCCAAAAGTAATTCTAGTGGTTAGCCTAAAAGTACTTAACTAAGAGGTTCAGATCTGCAAAGACAGATCCCAGAAAGAGAGGCGACCACGCCATGGCTGCAAAGACAAACCTCACTGTCGATCCTCGTAGATGCCCCGCCGCTTCAATCACCGCCATCATCGACTGTTTCAATCCATCAATTATAGTTTCCAATTCCGAAGGTTCCCCATCAACAAGCAGAGAAACGTTCTGGTGTTAATCAGGCTAATTTACCTTCTTGTCTCTTTTAATCTCTGATTTTAGCTTCTTCAATGCTCTGGTGTTAATTCTTGGCCTATTGAGTAATTAATTGTAGAAAAGAGCATAGAAGGTTTAAAACCAGCCATTGATTTGTGAATACCTTAGGAAAGAACTGGGATTTTTCCATGTTCGAATACTATGAAAACTTCCCTTTTCCATCTTCTTTTTCTTTGAAGAAGTTGGTTTTGCTCTTGCCAAACACAACGTTTCAATATTTACAAGAGTTGGGTTGTTTCTTGCCTTTCCTTTCCTTTTCGTCATTATTGTCACTCCGACCTTTTTTTATTCCAGAAGACGTGGGTAATAGGGTTAGAGGAGTGTCTATTCATATGCTAATGGTATCACGGATTTTGTTGCTTTTTCATCCCTCAATACTCCTTTCGAGATTAAGATTGTATTAGTAAAATTGCACTATGTAAAAAGGATACATTTATGATATATTATGGATACATTGCAAGATGCACGATACACTCTATATACAAATTTTATGCAATGTATATACTAAATAGACTGTCATTATACAAAAAATATACTAAAATAGACTGTCACTATACAATTTATATACAATAGACCGTCACTATACAAAATATATACAAAATAGACTGTCACTATACAAAAATATACTAAATAGATTGCCACTATAAAATTTATATATACTAGACCATCATTATACAAAATATATACAAAATCTGTCACTATACAAAATACAAAATATATACAAAAATAGACTGTCATTATACAAAAAATATACAAAATAGACTGTCACTATACAAAAAATATACAAAATAGACTGTCACTATACAAAAAATATACAAAATAGACTGTCACTATACAAAATAGACTATCACTATACAAAAAATATACAAAATAAATGCAACTATACAAAATATATGCAAAAAAGACTGTCACTACACAAAAATACATGATACACTCCAAATACACAGTGTGCACACATTACACATACAAAATTGTATATAATTTATGTACACTATTTTTACATATTAGAAAATACACATTATATACAATTTTGATACATTGTTCAGACAGATTATACATTCGCGATACAAAATACATTTGGGGTACACAAATATATACACTTTAGATACACAAGCACACTCGAGATAGGCTCAATATACACTAAGGATACACTGTCGAACTTAGGATACAATATTTATACATTGCAAAATAATGTTGGATTACTAACACCTTCTCAAGTTGACATAGTAAATTATTGTAAATACTGTCACGCTGAAATCTCGAGTTGGATTTGGTCGAAAATCAATCCCGAGATTGGTGCTCATGCTTCACTCAAGTTCGATAATTTAAAAGAAGAGAAGAGCCTTACAAAACCTCATTATCATTTAATTATTCCATCATATAATATTCGTTCTAAGATCTACCTAAAAATAAGAAACTATCATGATAGCATATCTTGAAAACAAGCTACACATGAAATTTAATAATCTAACATCATGTGCAAGCAAAATAGTATATAACACTCAGCCACCTTCTTAGTGAGTGAAATATGACCTGCATTACATATTTCATTCAATTGTTAGCCAATACTTATCAGATCCAGAAGAACATTTAAAAAGGCAAAAAAGGAACGTTCTGTCGCGCCAGGTAGGAGTCGAACCTACGACCTTCAGCTTAGGAAACAGGAGCTCTATCCACTGAGCTACGGCGCTTATGTTGTCATACTCTCCTTTCGGCTACTATATGCAATACGTTTGGGCCGAAGGGCCATTTTTTGTAAGTAGGACAAAACATGGGCTATTAAAATTTTGAGGGGCTATAGAGGGTAGTTTTCTCCCTCTACATATGCCTGTTTCAACTTTACCCGTGAATCATTCCCAGCCCAACGAATTAGTAACTATTAGCCCTGTTTAGACTTGATTCTGAACATTCTTTAATAAATTTGTAACCAATGATAACTAGTATTAGTACCATGCGATGCGCGGATAAACCATATCAAATTATGATTTGGGTTATTTGGATTATGGGCAAATAACCTTAAAATTAAAACTTCTATATAAAAATTATAAATAATTATTAGTAGATATTTATTACGAAGCAGGATATGAAACCATTTTTCAAATCTCATAGTGGATAATCTGTTTTCTTTTTCTATATCCGTAATAACCCAACCCCCTTGATTTTGGCACTGGTATTTTATCGAGAAATTTTCAAAAATCACTATTGTTTAGTGGCTATTAACTTCTTATAGCTAGCATATACATAATTACTTCCTGTAGCTACTATTTAGTTGTTAAGCGACAGTATTCGATGTATTCGCGATACTGTATTCATGAATACAGTAACGGAATTCGCCTAAAAAATAGGGGAGTCCAGCTATGCGACTGTATTCGCGCTATTGTATTCATGAATACAATCGCGAAATTCGCCTAACAAATAGGGAGTCCAGTTGTTTAATAACGGAAAGAAGATCAATTAGCGTATATCACTCCTAATTTAGCTCAACAAAATCAATTCTTCGTTGCTAATGTGTTGTATTCCATGTATTTGAGTGACTATATTTATAAATACAATAAGGTAATCCGCCTAAAAACAGGGATTACTGTTGTTTAATTATGTATTCCATGTACCGCGGGAATGTATTTATAAATACAGTAAGGTAATCTTCCTAAAAAATAGTTCTTGAATTATTCTTGTATTGAATTGTTCCTTCCTTCCATGACTTACTGATTAGTTGCTACTTGCCTTAATTGTATTACTTGCTCACCTTAATTGTCACGTACTTGACTTGTTTTTTTACGTTTGTATTATTTGTAGTATTATGTTGATTAGTACGTGGTTCCTTTATTACTTTCCTTTCATATTCCTTAATTGTAGAGGTTCTTGTAAATTGAGCTATTGAAGTGATTGCTTTTATTGTCAATATTTGTGGACCGCGTTGCACGCCTCAATGGTTGTGATATGGTGGAATAAGAGAGGATTTTGATATTGATTATAATGATATGGTGGGATCGGGTTGAGCGCCGCAACAGTTGTGAATGTGATAATTGGTGTTAATAGATTATGATACGGTAAAATAAGGGAGCAATATGATATTGATTATGATGATATAGTGGGATCGGGTTGCACACCGCGATGGATTTGATATGTGATTCTTGATATTGATAAATGATATTATGGTGGAATAAGGGAGGATTGTGTGTGCACGGTGGGATAGGGTTGCGTGCTGCAACAGATTATGTATGTTGTACTCACTGTGTTATTGTGTTAGTTTTCAACCTTTTATATGATATTTTTAAGGTCTGATATTCTGGATTCTCTGGTTGCGAGGATTGAGCTCATTATCATAAATTAACTTATTTACCTTCATTTCCTGTTTCCTTCCCTGTTATTATTATTATTACTGCATGCAGGTAATTATAAGTGACCCGCCTTAGCCTAGTCACTACTTCGTCGAGGTTAGGCTCGGTACTTACAGAGTACATGGTGTTGGTTGTACTCATACTACACTCGACACTTTTGTACAGTTTTGGGAGTTGGTCACAGCAGCGGTCAGTAGGTTGCTCGAATCCGGTGCTTGACGGAGACTTGAGGTACAGCTGCATAGCGTTTGCAACCCTCAAGTCCCCCTCTACATTTCTCTAGCTGTTTATTTCGATTCAGACAGTTATGCTTTCATTCAAACTATTATTGGTAGTACTCTAGACGCTCGCGTATTCGTGACACCAGTTTTGGGATTTGTATCTGGTTATCGTCATGTATCAGATTTGTCTACTTTATTTCAGTTTATTTAGCTTATTGGTTTTCATTTTATTTGAATTATTAAAAAGTATTACTCCCTCCGTTCCAATTTATGTGAACCTGTTTGACTGGGCACGGAGTTTAAGAAAAAATGAAGACTTTTAGAATTTGTGGTCCTAAACAAGTCCAAATGGGGCACAGAGGGAGTAATAATTAAGGGTAGAGTTGTAAGTTTAAGCTAAATTGTTACCAAATTTAGAAAGGGTTCATTCTTTTTGGAACGGACCAAAAAGGAAATAGGTTCACATAAATTGGAACAGAGAGAGTAATAATTACATCTAACGTTGGCTTGCCTAGCAAGTGAAATGTTATGCGCTATCATGGTTCCGAGGGTAGGAATTCCGGATCGTGACA